CCACCGGGCCTTCTTGGGAGGCAAGAGCTCATTCCATTTCAAAACCACACCCTTCTCCCAAGTCGGCCAGGCTTGCTTGACCAAATCTTCAGCAGTCTCAGCTGGAGCAGGAATCTCGGGATCTTGGTTGGCAGCTTCGTAGCCAGGTTCGGGATCGAAGTTGATGTCGCGGTATCGTGATGGATCGGCATCGTCCGGATCGTGAACGTGAGGAGCTGGTGATGGCGGACCAGGGACTTCAATCGGGGAAGATGGTCCATCGCCAAACAAGTCGTCGGTGTCGTTACTCGTACCTCCGTCATCTGTCAGACCTGGAACGGACAAGGAAGTGGCAGCGTTGCCTTCCTCCTCCTCCGGAAGATCGTCGTCGCTAATATCCTCGAAGTCTTGGGCATCGTCTGCCTTCCCAGACTGGTCGAAAGGTGTGTCATCAATTGTGATTCCAATATCCTCGCCATTCTGGAGTTTCGCGAGAGTCTTCTCGATTTGCTCGTCGTCTTGAGCATCGCGCGCCTCCTCTTTACGAGGAGGGGATTTGGGAGTGTCGGCGCCCATGTTGTCGATGCTTGCACGGATATCCACCCTCTGGCACCTCCGATATTGTGCGCCGACCTGTTTCAGTTCTATACCATGCCTCGCGTTGTGTTTTCCGATGCGTCGGGATCAGCGTTCGTTCGTTCGGAGCTCGTGAAGTCGATGGGGCGACGCGTCGGTCGGCTCTGGGGAAGCAGGAGGGAAAGTTCACGTAGAGCCGCAGAAATTTGGGTGACTCAGGTGCGATTTCTGCAGGGGTGCCTGAGGTGTTAGTTGTTAGCCAATTACTTTGCTTCGAGGAAGGCAGCAATGACCAGTGGTCCGTGCCTGCCCATTCTACCCCAGGCGGCCATCGGCAATGGGGTTTGTTTCTTGTCATGCCATACCTAATTTCGACGGAAGGAGGTATTGCGCTCCTGGCGCGAAGTTGTGCCGGCGGATATATCGATGAATCGGTAAGGTCAAGTAAGAAAAGTCTGCTCTTGGGTGACGATATGGCCAAATGTGCTTGCTGTGATGGAAGTGCCGTTTGATGATGAGGAATGCGGAAATAAGTGGTGTGAGGAGGTGAGAAGCTGGTCGCCGTGGTAAGTCGTCTAAGATAGGTCAGTAAATTTTGGAAGTGCGGGAAGTGTGCAGGAGAAGATTTACCCAAATAGGTGCCTGGCTGAGAGAAAGTCCAGTGAGGGTGTCGATGGACGACGGGACGGAGAAGGAGAGCAAGTGTGGGTCACGGTCACTTACACGGAAGGAAGGAGCAAATGCCTTGAGGAACACCTTCCCTACCTAAGGTATTTCCGGATGTCCAAAGTAAGGTACTTGCATATACGGAGTATGCTGAGATATTCGATTTTTCACAATCTCCTATACCTGAGATATCAATCAAGGTATCGCAACTTGTCCAGCTCTATGGTACCTATTCAAGGAGTTTGTTTGCGCAGTAAACAAGGCGCTACCCTTTTGGTCTTTCAAGACATCCATCTCCACATCAATCGCTTTCTGAACCGATTTCCCCAGAATCGCTCTTCTACTAATGCGGCATAGCGTAAAGCCAAACATGCTTCCATTCACTAAGGAGCAGAACAAAGTGCCATGTTCACTCTACCTACTTGTCCATTGTCTACCCCAATATTGATTGCGGGTGGCTGGCTGAAGGATCGACCCGCAAGACAAAATCTGATGCGATAGTCGCAACTGCACCAGCCATACCCATAGAACCGTGGAATCGTCGTCTCCATGTTGATATTCAATTACGTACCTATCCAAATCGCTGCAAGGTGGGTATGGTGTACTCAACATTCGTTTGAAACGTTTTTGTATTTCTCACAATCTATCTATCTCCAAAGAAGGAGAAGATTGCATACGCGTACAGATAGCATCCTTCCAAGACGGTTTTAATGCGAGGTAGTCTTTTGACGCCCACCGTCTCCTCCCCTCTGATAGTCAGAAAAAAGCCTTTTGTGCAAACTCCGTACGCCCTTTTCTTAGTAACGAGAACGATGACCCTCCCGCCATACTCCTGCTGCTACCCTGTCCTAACTTTGATCCCCGGGGTCGTCAAATGACGGCAATCACTTGCAGCGCTTCTCAACGATGCTGACACCGTTCTCCTCGTACTCCTTGCGCGAGATCCACATCTGGTGGAAGGTACCCAAGCTGGCCAGGATGCTGCCACCGATCCAGGCGCCGAAGCGACGCTCGCTGGAGAGACCGGCCGCGTGAATCTTGATCTTAAGGCCGGGATACATGGCCGTAAGCTCGTTGTTCAGACGGTCGTTGAAGCCGTTGAGCAAGCTGGTGCTGCCGGTGACCACAATGTTACCGAGAAGGTTGGGGCGCAGGTCGACGTCGACGGCATTCAGGGCGGCGCGGATAAGCTCGGGGATCGTCTGCGACTTGTTGAGTCGGAACTCCTCGTTGGTAGTCGGGAACGCGGCAGTCTCGTCCCACATGCCCTCCGAGACCTTGTACCGCTGCTCGCGCCACATCTGGTTCGCGCCGTTGGGGAACTCGAACACACGGCCGGGTTGCGTCTTGGCGAACTCCTCGTTTTGCGGCACGGCGTACTTGCCGGGTCCGCGCCAGGTCTCGACTACTGACTCCTTGAATTCCGTAAGGAGACGGTCGTCCTCGTAGGTGCGGAACGAGTCGCTGATGGAGAAGTCGAACTTGCGTTCCTTGAACTGAGCAGGAGCGCCTGCATCGACGGGGGTCTTACTCTCGACCATGAATGTAGGAACGGGCTCGATCTTGGGCTCTGAGGTCTCCCACAGGCTACGAATCTGGGATGACAGCCACAGGCCACCAACAGGGGACTTTTGGATGGATCGCTTCAGGACCATACCGTCGTGGATAGCCGTAACCGAAGTGTTGGAGCCGCCGACGTCAATGACCAGGGCACTCGCCTTGCCAGCGGCAAAAGCAGCCAGAACAGGCGTTCTGCTAAGCCAAAACGCAGGGCAGCCCCAGTTCTCCATGATAATCTCGATGGCCTTCTCCCTCGACTTGGCCGAGTTCCACGGCGCCTCGGTCATCAGGAGCGGGTTCTCTTGGAGGGCCTTCTCTTGCGACTCCACGTCCTCCATGGCGACGTCGACGTCGCCGTTGGCCTCGCCTCCCTCGACTTCCTCCTTCGGGTCATCGTTGAGGCCGTTCTTGGAAGGATGCGTGGGGCGTCCGGGCTGAAGGCGTGTGATGAGCATGTGCTCCCAGAGCTTGTTGGCAACATCCCAGTCCTCGACGACACTGTCGCGCGTCATGTAGTTGCGGACCTCGAGGTCTGCCCGGGGGATCAAGCACTCGTCGCCGAAGACGGTCGTCGAGGTATCGGAGGAGCCAACGCGGCCGTAGAAGGACGGGAAGACGGACTTGGGGACATCCTCGCCAGCAAATCCGGCGCGGGTGCTGCAGTAGCCTGGGTCGAGAACCAGAGCGGAGACCTCATCTGTTCGCGATGGTTAGATTGGGCCACGCGTAGAGTACAGCTGGAGGTGAGCATTTACCTCCTCCATAGATGTCGGTCGGCTGGACGGCCGATGACAGCGGTTGTTGGGACATGATTGCGATGAGGTATGTGAAACGACAATCCACCGAGATAATTGAGATGGTTCGATGGCGGTGTGGTAGGTTGTTGCGATGCGTCGCTCGATTGAAAGTCGCGTCTGGTCAAAATTTGGCGCGGTGGTTGGAGGAAGGTGCAAGGCTGAGATTCCAGCCACACCCCACCGTGTCATAGCGCGACACACTGTACGAGCTCTCGGTGAGAGCTATTGACCGAGCAGGGATGTCAACCATCAGATTACGGAGTACAGAATCGTCACATCCCACCATAAGCATTTGAGTATGGCGTCTGGAGAGGAGGCGCCTCAACACGAGAGCTATGTCATTCACTTCGGTGTTTTGAAATACCATACTTATGACACCCGCGCGTCACTGGGTATCTCCTTTTTGGTTGTATTCGACCATTAATTGTTGATCTAAAGCTTCATGTCACAATGTACTCGTCCTCTGACTCGAAGTCTCGTCCCTCCCCGTAGAGAACTTCACACGCGCCGGCCAACGGTATATCCATCACAGCATCCGTTCCCTCGTTCCATATATTCTTCCAGTCGTACCCTCCCCCCGGCAACCTATGATCTCTCTTATTCCTCGACCTCTTCTTCGGGTCATCCCTCAGGCGTCCCTTGCTGTCAATGACCCCAATCTTAGAAGCATCATCCACCACCGTCTCAATGGAACTCAGCGGCAGCGTCAGAATCTCCGTGTTGTACGCCGCGAGCGCAATGTAAATATAGACCCCCAGCATCGTGAGGAAAGCCGGGATCGCTAGCGACCACCAGCGGTTCGGGTAGTAGTAGATGCCCAGCGCGTGGAGGAAAGGCGACGGCAGGTAGGACCAGAGCAGGTAGACGAGGAAGGTCAGCGTCGAGAAGAGGTACAGCACGAAGCCGTAGTACTCGTAGGTCGGCACCTGCGGCGACGCGCGCGGCAAGGGCTCGAAGTCGTCGTCCGAGGCATCGGGGGTCGTCGGTCGCGAAGGGCGGAGGAGCGACGTCAGCGACGGCGAAGGGGGTAGAGGGGTCGGCGGGCGACCGTAGAAGGGGGGCGCAAAGTAGTTTAAGTTATGATGCAGGGGTCGCGGGGCCGGTAGCTCTTCGCCGTCGTCGCTGGACTCGGAGGCGAAGGATTGGTTGTCGAAGAGGAGTTCTTCTTCTTCGTCGGAGGAGAGAGACATGTTGGGCGAGAACGCCCGATCCTGTCAGCCCTCTGCTAACAATGTTGCGACAGTGGAGTTTGTGGTGTTGCAAAAGGCAGAATTGCGATTTCCCCAGGTTGGCTCCAGTGGAAACCTAGAATTGGCCCTGTCTGTCCCGCCCCTGTCCAGGATGCACGGAGTAGTGGGGCCGGTTCATGCTCAAGGTCGGCACCGATTAGGTAACTTTTTGAACCTCCGTCTTCACCAGACCCCTTCGTCTCTCTTTCTACCCCATTCTATGAGGCTATCAGGTCACGCAACTCATATCACTCTTACAAGTGAAATTTCTCATCGGTAAGAAGGCGGTTGTAAATATCTATGCAAATAAGCATAAGTTCTCAAAAAGCTTGTCTTGTATTAAAATCCTACCCTTGATAGACTGTACATGCCTAGACCAAGAACATGGCCGTTGCGATGAGCATCGCAATCTCCTTTCACAACACTTTCACTTTCACGAGTCTCGAATAACTAAAACCTAGTTTCTTTCCCTCGAGATCCCACCAGTCAGCTACTTCCTCCATTTTGCACTGTTGATACCCTGCGAGTGACCAGCCCCTATCTCCTCTCGCTCCAAACGCAGCAAGAAAGCAAAACATTCCCGCGGAGACACGTCTGCATCATCTCCCCCCAAACGCCTGTCGAAACCACCCTACTAGAAAAAGTTAAACAAAACCCCCAGCAAATATAGATCTCCACTGCTCAGAAAAAAAAAAACGAAACAAAACAACTCACCTCTCCTATCCTCATCTCCCCTCCTCCCTCTCGGCTCAAACCAGACCCGATTCCTCAACCCATCCCTCACCCTGACCGCCACCGCCCACGTCAACCCGAACCGCACACTATTGTGCATACTACACGCCACGATCCCGCACGTCCGGCACCGAAAATACACGGCGTACGCCCTCGACCGGCAAAACGTGCACGCCGGCGGCAGCACCCGGTTATTCATGTCCTCCACCTCCCACGACGCCGGCAGGTGGTGGTGGCACAGCGGGTCCTCGGCGTGGATCTCGAATACGGGCCAGGCCCGCCGTACTCCTGGTCGCCTCCCCTCGCCTGGGCGCGCGACGGGAGGAGGGCGGCGTCGGGCGGCGCGGCGCTCGGGGCGCCATTCTCTGGTTTCTGGCTGGATTTGACGGAAGGTGAAGTCCTTTGTCAGTGGGGGGTTCAACACAGAGCGAAATGGAGGGAAGGTTATTGTTCTGAAACGTACCTCGGTGTTTCTGCCGTCTGGGTAGTACATCATGATACTGAACCGTCCCCGACCCTGTCGGAGATGAGCTTCTTCATCCATGTTGTGTACGTTGCGCTGATCTGTAAACGGTATCTCTCCCATGGGTTGGAGATCTTGCACTTGCGGCTGGGGAATTTCTACAGAGGTCAAGTTAGTCCCCTAAATCTCGTTGACAACCACAGACGTGGAGACAGTAGTCGGAAATAAATCGATGTGGCCGCCGTCGATGAAGAGCTGTACCGGCGGAGCAGGGAATGGCACAACCGCAGGCTAGATCGCAGCTGGAAGCTACGCCCCCTTTTATAAATATCGTACGTGTCCCATCTTATGACTGGTCGTGGAGGAGTCACTTACCTGCCGGTAAAGGCTCCCACAAACCATCATTATTTGCTTGCGGTCTTACCTGCGGCGGAGGCAGAGGCTGCTGCAGTGTCCCCGTAGGCGTGAAAGGTCGACCGTCTGGCATCAGATAACCCTGCTGATACCTCGTCGCCCGATCACGCATATTAACACGGCCCCCGAACCCCGTCCCTCTGCAATTCTGAATGCAGCCTTGAACCCACCGTCCGCCGCACGAGAAGCAGAACTCCTCGCCGCACACGCACCTACAAGTCTTCTCGTCAGTCTTTTCAAACATGTCTCCCTTTTCATTTTGCTTTCCCGCAATAAGGGGGGGAGGGGAAGTAAAGGGGCATCAGAAACTCACGTCAAATGCGTACACCCACCCGCCCGCTCAACAACTCTCCGACAACTGGGACAAGGCGACAAATTCAGCTCATCCATGACATCCATCAACATCTCATCTTCTTCCTCAGTCCCACACGGCGTCCCGGGATGCAGCACCCTCCGACACCGTCGACACGTCCCCTGCCCACACGCAAGACAATACATCGCGTCGCCAGCGCCAGCACCAGCCGGCATGGCATGCTCCCCGCCCCCCGGTATAAACGCAGCACACGCCGGCCTGGCGCAATACACCCTCTCCTCGCCAGGCGTCTCCTCTTCAACCCGGATCTGCCTATACAGCCTCACCAAACCGGGCCGTTCTGTGCCAGCGGCCTGTTCGACGTTATCCTGCTGGAGAGGTTGACAGCACCGCGGCGGCCAGCCTCCTGCGCGTAGACCTGCGCGGAGACAGCGTCGGAGACAGCGGGGGCACATGCGGCAGCCGCAGGGGAGGCGGTGGTGAGGTTGTCTCGTCGTGAAGCAGACGACACATGTGTCGTTGTCATTGTTGTCATCTTCGGCGTCTGAGGTTTCTGCACTGTTGGTTCGCGTGTCGGTGAGCAGGCGGTTGCGCTCTTCCCAGCCGATGTATCCTCCTGTGTTGTCATTGTTGCCATTATTGGCGTTATTGGCATCATGGTTGGCATCATTGTCGTTGATGTTATGATTGCCTTCAACCGCCATGGCACTCTGTCTCATCGCAATAGCAAGCTGCTGGTCAGGGGCAGCCATCTCGAGCGCCCGTACCGCCGCACGCTCGACCTCGCGTTCCGTAGCGAAACGTATTGTATCGAGGTTAAGGAATCCATGTTCAATAATGATGTTTGTAATGTCCTCGTCGAGGCGTTGAAAAAGGTCCATCTTTGTAAGTCTGGTCCACTTCGTTTCCGTTTCATGCTTCCATATATTGGGCGTATAAAGTATCCTCTCAAGGCGTAGGTATTGCCGTAGATCCTCTCAATATAGTTTGTGTGAGCAGTATGTTTCTGTGACAGAGTCACAGGCTAAGAACGATGAAGAAATATTCAAAATATACCTGGAGTCTCTTTTTTCTGAGTCATGGGCCAGACTGACAAGTTAGTGAATGTGTTATTTGCAGCAGTGCGGTTCTGTCACCTTCAAGATGCACCACCATAAAGCTTTCTACAATTTGAAAAACAAGACCCATATTCACATTGTATACACGAGATTATAGGCTTCAGCAGTTCACAAACTTAAAGTGAAACCACGGGAGCCTTGGACTATGATTCCTCTGATATCAAGTACTAAGGAAGGTCGATGCCGAAATACATGCTGTGGTTGGCTTTGCCTTCTGGACGTAAGTATATTCAACCAAACCTCGACTCAACCTCGACTCAACCTCGACTTTACTGAGTAGTGTAATGCAAATGTGAAATTGGCCACTGTCCGAGTCTACTTTAACACCCTAGGTACTAGGACAAAAACTTTTACGTTCTGCTTCGGACCGAAGGTAAACCAACCCCTTTGGTATGTTTGCTATTGCGTCGAGGAGTCGAATGGAGTCAAAAGTGTCATGGAAAGTAATCAAGTGCCATTGAACAGTTGTGGTCTGACTTGACTCAAATTGATAGATGACAAAAGAGCTACCTCGCCCCTGCCTATCTTCTAGACCGGATGAAACCGGCCTTTATTCCCACCGCTTCGTCATACTAAGGTGTTATGCCCAGAGAGGTGGGTTTGATATATCATCGACTCCCTTACGCCATAAAAGCTGACTCCTTCGTCAAACCATAATGGGATATTCTCGTCGACGTTGACCGTGATATCTTAACTTTCTTTGTCCAAACAACCGCTGCGCTGCAATATAGTGGCAAAACCTGTTTCCGCCAAAATGAACCCCCAAAACCAACCGCCCATCGGTGGTTATGGCCAATGAACCCCCCGTAAACTCCAGACATTGTGAACTCCGACGCTGCTATCCGGGATATGATTTGAAATGACAAGGAAAGAAAAAGAGTGGTAATAGTAACATCAGATATAAAGTAGAAGATGGGTATAAATGATCAATAACTGAAGTCCACATTACCCATCTGGGATAACATCTTCGCTTCCGCTTCTGTCGAGCTCGCAGTCGCGCCGGTGTTTGTTGATGTTGCCGAATTTGAGTTTGTTTGTGAGGTTTGTGTAGTTTGGGTCGTGGAGTTCGTCTGTGTTTGCTGCAATTCGTGTTCTGGAGGGGGTTGACCACTAGGTGACCAGCCTTCGTCTAGAATTTGTTGGAAGCTCCAGCTCGGTTCAAACCTGGTGCTGTTCCAGGCGTAGTCGACACGTTCGTACATCTCATCAATCTGCTCAAGACTGATCTTGCTAGTCTCGAAGACCATACACCATACAAACAGAACTGCCAGAATGCAAAATGCACCCCAAAGAAAGAAGATCTTGGGGCCAATATCGGCGTAGCCAGGCCCTTGACCAACCATGAAGGGAGTGCCGTATGCGATGCCGAAGTTCAAGAGCCAGTTGGAAGCGGTCGAAATCGAGGCAGCCTTTGCACGGATCTTTAGGGGATAAATCTCGGACGTAATAACCCAGCACACAGGGCCCCATGATGCCGCGAAGAAGAAGATGTTGATGGCACAGAAAACGATTAGGATGGTTTGCGCGGCCTGCTGTAGGTTCTCGCCGGCAGCCGTAGAGAAGGAAGCGATGAGGAGTTGACAGACTGCCATGCCGATAGCACCGACCATGAGCAACTTGCGACGGCCCCACGATTCGATGACAAGGAGGCCCGGAACTGTTCCAACGACATTGATAATGTTGATGATGAGAGCCTTGACGTAAGGGTTCTCAACCCTGGCGCCATCGAAGAAGGATGTGCTGTAGTACATGATGAAGTTGATACCCGTAAGTTGTTGCAGCATCTGAAGGCAACATCCAGTGAGAGTTCTTCGACCAAGATGGGGAGACCCATAAAAGATTTCCTTGTAGGAGTCTGGGCCAAGCGTGAGTTCATACTCGTGGTTCGCCACAATCTCCTGAAGCTCGTCGAGTAGGGCGGGATGGGTAATATCGAGGCGACGGAGGCGACTTAGTGATAGACCTGCGGCCTCTGGCTTGCCCTTTTTGACAAGAAAGCGTGGTGTTTCGGGGAGGACCAGAAGACCGAGGGTCAAGACGACGGCCCACACAAGTTGAAGGCCAAGCGGAATGCGGTACGCGGCGCCCGAGTCGAGCTTTTCGGTCAAGATGTTGACAAAGGATGCGGACAATAAACCAATGGTGATGGAAAGTTGATAGGCGCAGACGAGGGTGCCTCGAATCCACTTTGGAGCCATTTCTGACTGATAGACTGGTACGAGTACTGAGATAGATCCGACGCCGACACCAGCAAAAAACCTGCATACTTGGTCAGCGACGCGTTGCGCAATGAGCCAACACTTCCGATCCGTATGGCATACCTTCCGACCAAGAGCATTGGGATGTCGTGCGCGCAGACTTGGAAAATACCACCGAAGCTGAAGACGCCGGCGGATAAGATGAGCGAGATGCGACGGCCCCAACTATCGCCGATGGGTGCGGCGAGGAGAGCGCCGAGGACTGTGCCGGCACTGAGGATTGCGACGATGATGGAGGATTCGGCGGGTGAAATAGCGGGCTTCAGGTTTTCGGTATAGCCGGTCGAGAAGTCTCGTCGGAAGGCCGTCATGGAGAGGATACCGTTAATCGTTCTACAGTCCGTCACGAATCAGCGTCCAAGTCTCGGAAGAATTCCACCACGAACACACGAATATGAGCACAAGCGCCATCGCGTCCTTTTCCTTCTCTTGCTCGTCGTCGTTGAGACGGTGGTATTCGATCGTATGCCGCGTTGTGTTGTGTGTGTGTGTTGTGTGTGTGTGTGTGTGTGTGTATGTGTGCTTACCCAGTGTCGTAGCCAAAGAGCAATCCGCCCGAGGCGACGAACAGACCGACCATGATGGCCGGGGCCGACGAGCCGGCGACATTGTCGGGCTTCTGCCAGCCCATGGCTATCGCCATGGTGAACGGGGGGTTCGGCGACAGCAATCCAGAACGGAAGCGTGATACTATGAGAGGGCGAATCTCTCGAAAGTCGTCGAGAATCGAGGTGGAAATGGGCCGGCGACCATTTGAGTGAAGTGACGGGCGGACGGCGGGCGAGTGAAGAGTGGTGAATCGACGAAGTGTGGGTAACGATGGATGGATAGGATGGAATGGGACAGGACAGGCAGACGGGGTGTGGAGAAGGAAGCAGGGAGACAGGCGAAGGCTCAGAGGTAAGAAGCACGAAAAGGTCGGGCAGTCGGGTCCCGGGTACTCTAGTCAGTCACTCAGGCCAGTCCAGTTCGGAAGAAGGAACCACCAAAAAGCCACCGCCCACCTACAGCGTGAGGTACGTCCACACGTCCACCACAGTGGCACAGTGAGAGTCTGGGAGGGAAGGAAGGCAAGTCTGAGCCAGCCAGAAGCAGAAGGGGGGCGCCTGGGGCACAGAGAACACTGTGAACAGCGCGAGTCTGGGGTGTGTGGACCTTTGGGGGGGCAGATGAGCCAGTCAGAGAGGCCGAAGGGGAAGGGAAAATGTGGAGATGGAGCAGGAGACGCTGGACAGAAAGAAGACTTTCCTTCCCGTCCTCCCAAGGAGTACCGAATCCCTTCTTACCTCCATGCTTACCTCAGCTTTCTTCAACCCCCGCCCCCAGCACCAAGTAATACCTATCAGCCGGGAGGAAGCCAAGTAAGGTAGTAAAAGGTGCCATGGACCAGAGACACGGCAACAGAGACTTCAACTTGCGAGGGACGGGTAGAATAAAGACAGGATAAGCTGGACAGACTCATGATCAAACACTGTGAAGCCTCGACGCAACCAACAAGATTGAACGCTGCCACATCCACCTCACTGCTCACCCACCCATCAGCTGGTAGAGGGACGAGGGGGAAAGAACGAGGGACCCGTGGCACCGTGGATCAGCGCAGTTTTTTGAGGGGCTCTCCCAGACTCTCTCTCCCCCCTCGTCTACATACGGATACCTACCACAGTATGGGTTGACTAGCGAATTCTTGGGAACGGGTGACTGTGCCTGTCTTCCCTCTGGTTCTGTACTTCGTACTGGGTTTTGCTGCTTTTGCGAAGGGCCCCAGCCCGGTGGCTGCGGCTTTGATTGGCTCCTTTGAGGATGAGTGGTACATCCGGCCGTGCTCAACTCGCCGGTTACACACCCCTTTCTCAGGGCTATACCGCATCTGGCGATAGCGTCTTTACTCTTGTTCCCCCTTGGCGCCAGAAAATAAAAGGCGGGATGGAATATGGAATTGGACGGGGCATTGTAACCGTACGTGCCTAGTCCGTACGAATAGGCCGTACGAATACGCTCTCCGTACCTCACTGAGATTCATCAGCTTCCAATGTTGGTCGTCTTATTCTATGATACTGCCAAGTAGGAGGACCTAGGTATCTCTAAAGGTGCTGGGTCTTGATAGTCCAGCCTCATGAGCTTTGCACAGCTTGAATCAGTACGTAGTAGCTGATGTACAGAAGAGGTAGCTGAGAGTACTGAGGTGTCACACACGCGACTAGACTGAGGCATACCTACCTCTCACCAAAGGTAGCCAGCCATCAACTCACCTCACTGGAATTTGCCATGGTTTGGCGCTAGGTTTCCCCTCATTTGCGGGGGACGCTGGATTCCGGAGGAACTAGGTACGAGTGCGGCCGATAATGAGGAACCACGGAACTCAAGTCAACCTTGACCGGCAGGATGAACTTCTTTCTCGGCACGGCCGCTTGCGTATACACATTCTCACACACAAACATGTTCCTGGAAAACCTGCGAGAAAAGACAGGCTAAGCCAACAACCTTCGCTCGGGGTGTGTCCAATGGAAACTCTTGTCGGATGTCTGACCATTCCTCCCCTGGTTTCCCTGGAAATTGTGGTCTGGAGAAACTCAACTTCCAAAAGGTTCAGGGACGATAGGACGACACACAGACCTTTGAGGCATCTCTAGGGCTGCGTGTACAGTTTGAGCCTGCAGCAGTCAGTGTCAGTGGAGGGTTGGTATGTCTTGGTCTGATGTGACTGGTTCCATGGGTGTCCCGAGCGAGGGGAACGCACCAGAAGTCTGTCTATTGCCTGGTTCAGCTACCTACCAATATGGAGTACCTGAGAGACTTATACCGCTTGGTGCTGTTGAGGTGCACCGAAGCACAGGTATACGGCACCACGGGTATATCGCTGTACCGTTCTCTCAGGCGCCTCCTTTCCTTCCTTGACCGCCTACTACCAAGGTACTTCCCTTCCTCGTCCTTGGGATCGGGGTCTTGGGTTCAAGTCTCTCAATGGCAAACAAAGGCGACTCTGCATGACACTAGCTCAGCCAGGCAAACACGCTGCAGGCGACGACGGGCTGACGGACTTTGACGGGACCTGGGCGTCTGTCCACGCACTGTGCTACCCGTCCATCGTCTCTTCGCGTACGGATACCGACAACTTCCATTGGTATCCGGCAACATGGCTTCCTGCTTGAGCTTCGCAATTGTGCTGTATCGTGCAGGCCCGCACATGCATTCAGCCTACATTGCCTTGACTCAGCATCTCCTGCATCTTGGACGGCTGCACCAAGCACGCTGCTGGGTTTGGGCACTCGTACGTGGTACCATCTTTTTATTCACTTGGGTATCCGTACGAACAACAGTGATATCTGACTGACCACTTGACAGCCCCGGCAGCCCATTCCGCTTTGTGCCCGTCACTTTCATGGCCTGGAGGACGGACGGGCACAGCGCGTAGTCATCGTATTTCCTCCCTCCCGCAGTGGCTTGCCCTGGCTTCTCAGCTATGTGACGGTGCCACAAGTGCCTGCTTGCTTGCTACCTAACAAGCGGTGGGAAAAGGGTTCCCCATTCGATGCCGCGCAGCCAGCCGTGACCAGTCTTACCCCCAGCTGAGTCTGACAAGGCGGATGATGTTCAGGGACGATGCTGCAGTCCCCGTCGTACCCTCCAGTCTGCTGCATCGCGGTGATGAGGAAAGCCGTAGTAGATGACGACAACGATAACACAAGTTGTCCAGAACGCAATGCAGAAGCCTGTAGGTAGCTCATAGTGGCGGCGGTCGCTTCCCTAATGACTCCGAGCCTTGTCCTCGACAGGTATCGCGTGTCTATGTTTCCAGATATGTCCAGTGTGTGTGTGTGTGTGTGTGTGGAATGCAAAGGCCGTTGGTGTCGGCACACAGTGTTAGCTTAATCCGGGGTCATCTCATACCCATCAAAACTTAAAGGCAAACTTCGTACACACTGTAAAGCTTGACCGCTTTCCAATCAGACCACCAGTCTAAGCCCGCGCGATTCCTGATAACGACACAGTGTGATCTCTCCACAAGCCATCCGACAAAAGCCGGGCAGGGGTGGCGGACAAGGGAACAAAAGATCACCTCAGTTCGCGCAGACAAATTGCGGGGAAACTCCGCCAGCCCTGACAAGAATCGGGGACGTATCCGTACGTACGGAGTAATACCTTATCGCAAATTCCCAGGTGCGGTCTTTGGCTCGTAGTTCGTACCGCCCGGCGGACTGCTTTCCTCCCTACCAGATACCTCTTAATAGTAAGGTACCTTACGTACTTACCTTAGGTGGAGGTATCCGTAGGACCGTAGGCAATGGAAGTTTTATGGATGCCATTGGCACTGGGCGGCACTGGCGCTAGCCAACATACACCTGCACATTTGCCGCGAGTCCTCATCATCCATTCCTGAATACAACTTACAGTAAACCAAGACCAGCCAAGCCCCCCCGGATAGCTAGCCAGCTTCGCTTGCCGACCTCTAAATTCCTAGCAAAGCTCCAACAGTCTATCTACGGAGGTGTACGGAGTACCTACCCCAGACTTGCATACCTACCTACCTCCAATGTTCGCTGCTTCCAGCCGCAGCCCGGCTCCAGTCTTTAGACTCTGTCCACTCAGAGAGTCCCGCCCTCCGCGGACCTCAGACGCCGACGACGACGACGACGCCCTCGCAACCTCACCCCATGACCATGCCGCCGTGCGGCACAGCTCTTTCCGCACCTCCACCACTTTCCTCGACCTCATTTTGTGGTGATTCTTTCCAGTCATGCTGCTTACGGAGTACGTGCATCTCGCCTCGAGGTCGGTTATGCATCACGCCGGCAATTGTCTTCTTTGCCGCCCTGCCAGCTTTGATAGACGTATATCATCCCAAATCGTAGGACGGGTGAAAGCCTCATTGACAGCTGAGATTGTTTTTTTGCCCAAGCTCTAACGACACTGCCCAGCACTAGTAGTAGGACATTTTGTGGGAGAAGGGCTAGGCTGGCTAGCAGCTTATAAAATACAGGTCCCCGGAGCTTCGAGCTTCGAGCTCCGTAGGCATCTAGGTACTACACAACCCCGTGTTTATACGGAGGTCCTGCGCGGCACAGCTGTCCCTTCGGCCCATATTTTCACCAAAGCTGATAAGGCAGCTTCAGCTTTCGATGGCACATTTTGTCCCAGTAGTAGGTAATCAAAAGTCGACTTTTCCTGGTGGAAATGAAACAGCCCCAAAGAGACTTTTGAGACATGAGGGGTGCTGTCTCATCTGCACCGGGCAAGCCACAAAGCACCATTTTAGCAATCTTACATGCTGATGTATACGAATCAGCTTTCCGGCCTGTCTACCTGCACGAAAGCAAAGGCACGCACAGTCTCGTGGAACCCAGTTTCCGCCCTACAGGATATTGCTCGAGCGCACTGACAGGCTTCGATGAGAGAGAGAAAGAAAGAAAGAAAGAAAGAAAGAAAGAGAAGGGTCGGAAAACGGTCCGAACTCGACCTTCTGGAACCTTTCCCGGGTATTGGCATATGCAGTCACACCTGGGCGAGAAGGTCGGCATCAGAGAGTCTGGTGTCTCTGGCATATGTTGGTCGCACCCTCGTGCGAAGTCTACTGCTGCAAGCTGGATGCCCTGGTATGGGAAGTCTCATACCAGCACAACTCCTATCATATGGAAACTGCCGCTTTTAACTCGAGACGCCATGGCGCTTGCCTGGAATTTCTTTTTGTAATTCGCAGTCAAGCAATTCTGCAAATATCCAGGTCTTGCGGCGGTTGACCTACCTACTTCACATGATACCACATTATCCGACGAGCTCATGTGGTACTAAACTCGAGTACCTCGTCTGAGTGACTGCCAGGAGAGAGGGCCAAGTTTGCTTGGGTACGTGGCCTTCGCAGTGAGTGAGTGAGAGAGAGAGAGAGAGAGAGAGAGAGAGAGAACCACTGCGCCTCAACAACCCGCGACTTGTCACACTTCTCCCATATAATGCTGCCGCAAGCTGCTATGCAACCGCGCCAACAGTCTAATCTGGTCTCTCTGTAAGTTACAGAGCATGGCCATTCAAGCCTTTTGACACTTTCCCTAGTTCCATCGAGAAAAAATCACCCACACGGAAAGCCAAAGCCACAACGTTTTAAAGGCGACGCTATCAAGGTTCGTCTGGCGTTTGCCTCGAGTTGCACAGGCATGGCAACAGGCTGTGGCTGGCATGGGTGAATCGGGATATTTAGTATATCTGCCGGTGACACAGCGGCTCTCTTGCAACATGAATCGTCTTAGCCCCCCAGAAGATTGCAAATACTCGGCTTACTGTCAGCGGCAGCCTCATCTCGGGAGTCCGTAGGGACGAGGAGGGGACCCACACGAGGCAAAAGAAACCTGCATTTTTCTCGTCAGAATATCGATCCTCACTGCAGGCATCTTGTGTAGATATTCTATTTTGTAAGGGTATCCAAGTTTGTAGCGGCAAATAAGTAAGGAAAATTCACCCGAGGAGAATACTCGAGCAGAATACTATCCGCCATGAACAACACTCTGGAGTGCCCGGGAAGACACAGCACCTCTCCACTACTCACCGATACAAGAGGCTAAGAGCATCGTACTTCATACAAACACTCCGCAAAATGTATCCACTTGTAGTTGAAAACGGACAACACTATATACATCAGTGGAGAACCGGGCGGGTAACGGATATATCTATGTGATTTGACGGGTGGTTCCCCTGTGGATTCGGCGATGATCTGATCCTCCGGGTCGGCCTGCAATGATCGACGGCAATGCGGCAACTCCTCGGCTCGGACACGAGCCGTTCGCAAAGAGACTTGCTATACACCACCACGCTCCACCAATAGGCGGGCAGTGAGAGGTGAGCTCTTCAGCCTTTCCTGCCTCTCTCTCAATCTCTATGCCGATGGATCCTGTATCAATCCAGGACTTGATTACGAGTATCACTACTAAAGTAGCACAAGATATCATCCAGTTAGGGAGGAGAGAAGAGTGCTTACCAGAAAGTCTAGCCGGGGTTCAGATCGACCATCATCACCTACCTATCGCCCCCAAAGAACGCTGAACATGGTCCTTAACAACCTTGATCGCCCTCGATGATGGCCTTGTAGACGATGTGCACCGCCAGGCCACAAGAAAATAGGTTCTCAGAGGTTATTCATGATCCAACTCGCACGCTCTCACATCACGAAGCAAGTCCTACTACGTCCCTGCCTTCCAAGTGTACTTATTCTGCCATGCTACGTGATAAACTGTGCCCCTAAAGAAAGCGTTTCGATACACATGACCTAACCCAAAAAACAGAACTCTATAGGGCTGAGCCCAGAGAAGAAGGGTGGATGATGCTTGTAGTGTAAGGAGTGTATAGAAGTAAGGAATTAACAAGTGGTTTTGTAGGTTGGCATTTCTTCACTACATCGATACTTAAGCCTGGAGACGAGCAAATGTAGCGAATAACTTCATGAATTGTAACGTAGTCTCGAGGAAATATGTCTTTTCCCTGGACATTCCCAAACGCCGGCGCTGAATATGCTTTAATCGTCCTCCCCAACTGACCCTTGCAGCCCCATCTCACACCCATCTCCAACAGCTTCTTCTTTTATCCGTATTCATACAAACGTCTCAATGTCCAATACCGCCAGCGACCCAGTTGTTCCAATCCGGGTTACCAGGTGGAGGGAAAAGGCCCTGGTCTTGCTGTTGCGCCGCGGCAGGTTGACCCTGTTGCTCCTGCTGTTGACGTCTCTGCGCCTCCTCCTCTCTTCGATGCTGCTGCTGCCTCTGCTGCCTGTAGTAGAGAAGAAGCACCAGGGATAGAGCGAGGAAGACGATGATAAGGCTCTCGGCGATGCCGTCGTCCTCGAGCGGCACGCCGTCTGGGCCCGCACCACCGATCGTGTCATCAAAGATGTCTTCGTAGTACGGGTCGTCATAGAACAGTTGATCTTCCTGCAAGAAGTTGGCGATCCACTCGCTGAGTGACCAGTCCTTCTTTGGTTCTAAACTTTTGGTTAGCTGGGGCGTATCATAGAAGACGAGCCGTTGCAACTTACTAGGATCGTCTTGAATCGAGTGGATCGGGCCGTGAGTAAACGTATTCCATGCGCTTCGGAGGCGGAGCTTCAGCAAACTCAGGGTGACGGGAAGATAAGCCTCCTCATTAACCTCAAGTGCTTGATCATAATATCTCTTGGCCAAGTGGAAGTCTTGGGTCAGACCAATGCCATTTTCGTGCATCCAACCAAGGTTCCAGAGGGCCTGGGCACTCTGGGAGTAATCCGAGGCGCCCGTATAGCACTGGACGGCCTTGTTCACGTCCGGCTCGGAACCAATTCCGTGGAAGTAGTAATCGCCCATCTTGACCTGGGAGTCCACGTTCGACTGCCTGGATGACCTCGTCCAGTACATGAGGGCGAGTCTAGGGTTGTTGAGTAGGTTGGGTCGGGTGTGTTGCTGGAGACCAAACCACTCGGGAAGCGGCAGCCAGTCAGGCAGTGGAAGCCTGGACTGGACAGGGTCAAGAATGAAAGCGACGTTGTTCTGCGCGCGCTCATACCCTTGCTCTGCTGCCATGACGTATTCCAAGAAAGCAAGCTCCTCGTCCCCGTAGTAGTAGGCCTGGTTCGCCTCGGCCCACGAGGAAACAAGCGGCTCGGCCTTTTCGGCAACATTTTTGTAGTAGCCCAAAGCCATCGCACACGTCTTGTCGCGGCCCACGCCGTTGTACACCATCTCGGCGAGATAGTAGTGGGCCTCGATTTGGCCGTATCTAGCGGCAAGCTCGAAGTAGTTGTTTGCAATACGGACGTCCTCTGCTCCCCCCTGGTCCAGGTAGAGCACGCCCAATTCGATCTGAGATGGAGCGTAGTCCTGTTCCGCCGCTGCCTTAAAGAGGTCGGTGGCCATGGCAACATTCTTTGGCGTCCCGTACCCGTAGAGCATCATGAGACCGAGCCCATGCTGAGATTGAGCATCGCCGTGAGAGATTCCACGCTCGAACCATCTCTTTGCTTGATCAAAGCTTTGGTCGACACCATCACCACGCAGGTACATGCGGCCAATGAAGCCAGCCGCCTTACTCGCCGTCTTTTCGATGCCCTGCTTGTGGTTTTCAATGATACGGCCGTCCTTACGCCAGTACCGTTTCGCCACGGTAAAAAAGTACTTGCGAGCAAGGTCCAGATCCCGGTCGAGACCTCTCTGCCCCTCGTAGTAAATCCGTCCAAGGTTGTAGGATGCCTTGGCGTCACCCTTTTGGGACATGAGATCAAGATACTCAATCACGTCGTCTATAGCGGCATTGGCGTCGGAGTTAGGGCTCACTTTGATAGCGTTCATACCGGCACTTGAAGCGCTAGCACCCTCACCGTAGACTCCGCCAAGCTCATCAGCGATACGGTACGACTCCACCACCCAAGCCATGCCGCCGGGTGGACCCGAGCGATACCAGTCCATTGCCTTGTCCGCAACTCTCTTGTAGTACTTGCTCGCAGCCTCGCAGTTCTTCGGCGTCGCAATGCCGCTGTGATGACGGTAACCGATAGCCATTTCCGCGCGGGTGTCGCCTTGCATCGCGGCAAACGTGTAATAGAGTAGGGCCTTTGCCTGATCGGGAGCAACAACATGACCAATGCCAGTTGCATAGTAAAGGCCAATCATGTACTGCGCTGTGCGGTTTCCGTGGACCGTCGCGAGGGTATGGTAGTGATCGAAGGCGACCTTCAGGTCTCTCGGGTAAGTGTAGTTGCCGTAGAAGTTCATCTCGGCGAGCAGGTAGAGCGCGTCTGTGTTGTTCTGCAAAGCAGACTGTTCCAACAGCTTCACAGCCTCCAACAGCGGACCTGTGACCTTGGTCTCCTGTGCCTGGTGGCTGCCGGGAACAGGCGCAGCCTTTAGGCTAGGGACAACTTTGAGGGCATATCGGAGCACAGTATAGACGACAGTGTAGCGACGCTCACGTCTCGGGTAGGTTCGGGGTGGAAGCTTGATCAGTTGTTCGATGGCGAGTTCGACCAAGTCCGCTCCTGTTGGAAGTCAGTTCCATCAACCATTATTCCCCCCACCATCGCGAACATTGTACATACCGGGCTGCCTCGGAGGTGGGGTGTGGTGTTCCGGGATAACATCCGTTTGTGTTGTCGTATGCTTCCCTTCGTCGCTGTCGTCACTCTTTTGGTATTCGTTCAAGACCTTTTGCTCGTTGACACAGCATACAGCGGCTGCCTGCAACAGCACTTGAGGATATGTCAGCTTCGGATCAGCGGTTTGAGTGCAGTGACTTTCGACTTACGGCCTAGCCAGAGCAAAGAACGCCTCATCTTGAACGGTAATTATGTGCCAAATTCGAGCGCAAAGTTCCGCGACATGTTATAATTCGCAGATATGCGGTGTCGGGAGAGTGTTGGTTGGTGTTCCCAGCAGTTGCGCAGCTTGATGCTTTCAGAACAGCTGTCCTGGCTTTAGGTCCACGTAGATGGAATTGGAAGCTCCAAATGAACAGGGATAGTCCACTGCGTGAGACATGATTGGTCACTAACTTAACCGGACGCCAGGTACGCAATACCACTACAGAGGGGCGCTAATACAGTGCTCCGTGTATTCCTAAAACGGGGTTTTGTATAAAACCGCTTTCTTACTGACCAGTCCTTCGCAGCTCACTGGGCCGGCTTTGCTGAAGTTTTCACGGATTTTGTAAACTGCCAAAAATTCGATATCTCAGCCTGGTTCTAGTGGGAAGTTGAGCAGGAGTTTTCAAATCTGGCAAGATTATAGAAGGGAGGAGAATATTTGAATTTTACGACCAACGCTCAGTAAGTAGTTGCAAACCTCAATTTTTGGTCAGGGGTCCATGCTCATATAAGCCAAGCATAGCAGGTCAACGTGCTGTGAAGATGTACAACCTTTCTTGCGTTGACGGCCATCGGTTCGGCGATGTCTATGTTCTCGACATTCAGCGACTTAGCGCTGGCCTGTCCGCCATCTCATCAGATCAGAAACTCAGCCTTTTCGATCCCGCACGAGTTGGCCAGGGCCCCGTCAAGTCTTACCAGACGAACCACGGCAATCTGACATGCCTCAAGACCTTTGACTGGCAAAATTCTGTTGTCTGCACGGCGGGAGAAAATGGAGAAGTCTCGGTCTGGGATATGAGGGAAGGGTCAAAGCCGCAAGTCGCCCATTTTGCGGGTATGTTTTCTCACTCAGAGAAGGCCTGAAACATTCAATGAATTCCGCTAACACGACGTTCAGCTACTCAATCACCCATTCTATCTATGGCTTGTGATCCTAGAAGCAACACGATAGCACTGGGTACGGAGTTTCAAAACCACATGGCATCCGTCCTACTCTGGTAAGTATTCCTCGGGTCACGACAACACACTGCTCGATTATTCGGGACCCCTGACACCTTCTATAGGGACATCAGAGCCGGTCCGAAGCAGAGACTCCAGTACGACGAAGTCCACAGCGACGACGTCACAGAACTCCGCTTCCACCCTTCGGAACCGCACATTCTCCTTTCGGGATCGACCGACGGCCTTGTCAATGTCTACGACACACGCATCTCCGACGAAGACGAGGTTGTCGTCCAGACGTTGAACCAGGGCTCTGTCCACCACGCCTCTTTCCTCAGCAATACAGAGGTCTACGTGCTGACACACGACGAGAAGCTGGCCGTGTACAGCGTCGCCGAAGACTGCGGATCTGGCGCGGCTCTGGTCGACTTTGGTGACGCGAGAGAGACACTGGGTTGCCAGTACATTGCCAATATGACAACCAAGGTTGACGGTAGCGGTGCTATCGTCGGTGCCGGCTCACAAGAGTATGTTTTCTTCACTTGAGACTTGCGCCTTATGCCTGGGAGCGTGACTAACAAGTGGAATAGCCGTCAAGTATTCGAGTTGGTGCACCTATCCCGCACAGCCGAAGGCAGCTGGGGTTTCGACAGGGCGAACAGCGTCGGCCTGCCGGGAGGCCACGGCGAAGAGATCATTCGGTCGTTCTGCTTCTACGATGACGAACAAGTCGTCTTCACTGCTGGAGAGGACGGTAATATCAAGGCGTGGAGGCCCACATAGGTCAGAAAATAGAAGAAAGCAAAAGTTTGAAAAACTTAAGAACGAAAGTGAGATGTTTTCACGGCTATGCTGCTCAATGCGTCTGGGTATCATCGTCTCTCCCCTTTTCGTGGTGCCATACCAAACCATGTCCCCCTTTAGCCGTACTTGTCGTGCTTCCCCTTGACCTTCAACATCAACAATTGCTCGTGGTAGTCGCCCTCTCTTCTCGCCCTCTTCAACTTCCTGACTTCGTCGTCCTCGAGCCTGCGTCCCACGGCTTGTTCGAGCTCCTTGCGACTGATCTTTTCCTTTGCCTTTTCTTCCTTATTCGCCTTGAGCCGCGGCTTGAATCTCGCCTGCATCCTGATACGCCATGTGGTGTTGAACGTGATGGACTCTTCGTCGCCCCTGACTTCTGAGGTGGTGACGTTGGGTCTCGGTGGCTTGACGGAGAGGAAGGTATCGCGTAGTGTCTGGAGTTGGAATGTGCCAGGAGTATCCGCCGTTGCAATGACATTGAAAGATTCTAGTGGTGAGACAGCCACCGATGTCGCTGATAATACGCCATTCTTGTCGCATCCAAGATATCTGTGGCAAGTCAGCACATGGCTCTCGTCAACAACATTCTGTAGCTAGCACTTACTGCCCATGATGGCCCTTGAATCTGAATTGCTCCGTCCCTGTAATCCTATTCGCAACCCACACCTGTCGCACATCATGCGGCTCAGCCGTAGACGGGTTGCCCTCGACGATATTCTCGATCCCGAGCGTGAATATCTTGCCCACGGCATCGCACGCCAAGGCAGTAGGGGGTTCCGTCGGCAAGACGAACATGACGGGCCCGACAACGTCCGTCACGGCATCGGCAGACACCCAGCTATCGTCGTCATCGTCCGCGTTCGCCGTCGACGCGGAAGCCCCGCCGGTGCGAGCGACCTCCCCGCCTTGTGTGTCGCGGTCCTGGGCCTCGGCTTCCGCGCGCTTTCTCTTCTTGGGCTTCTTGTCGCCCTTGAAGGACAGGGGCTTGACCATCTCGCGTTGTATCGCCCGTGTTTCGTATTCCCCCCTCACTCGCGGGGTTCGATAGGGAAGGTGAAATTGCGTTATCTTTGTTGCGGTCTTCGGCGATAACCGGTGGGCTCTTCTGGCGGCCTAGGAGTGTGCTCGAGCTTTGGAGATGTGGAAATGGTGATGAGTAGAGTTCGAGGGGACGTTTGGACGTTGTGATTACATAAGGAGCTATCTGTGCCCCTCCCCCACCTTTTAGGTACCGACCCGGCAGGTGGTATCGCGGAAGCTTGTCGATGAGCCTACGATCTGACTGGATTCCTTCTCGTTTCATTCGTTGCTACCTTTTTAAACTTCTACAACCCAGATAAACACCATGGTTCAGATCGCACAACCGGTTGTTGTGTCTCTCAACGACCTTAAGGAGGGTGAGTTCCACAAATCAGGATCGTGGAGCGGAACGGGCAGCAGCTTACATGTGAAATTTACATCATAGGCAACATCCCCTTCGAGACCCTGAAGGAGGCCTTTGGGCCCGAATCTCTGGGAATCCTGGTGGTTAAGGACGTGCCGCCCGAATTCACTCATTTAAGACATCAGACCTTATCTTATGTATCCTACTTGGGCAACCTCAGTGAAGAGGAGCTGAGTACGATACAAATTGCTGCCCGTCTGCCCACCCCTGCTTACATATGAGCAGTCAAGCTTGAGAATGAAAAGGCCAAATACCTGACGGGCTGGTCCCTGGGTAAAGAGACACTGAAGAATGGCCAAGTTGACACATTCAAGGGCTCATACTATGCCAACTGCGCATTCTATGTTGACGCAACTCTCGACTGTGCCAAGCCGACGGCCAAATTCAACCAGAATAACTTTCCCGAGTACCTCTCGCCTAACATTTGGCCTTCACAAGACGTCCTCCCTGGGTTCAAGCCAAGCGTGGAGAGCCTCTGCCGAATCATCATCGATACAGCCGTCTTAGTAGCCCGAGCATGCGACAGATTTGCCGAGTCCGAGATCCCAGGATATTCGAAAGGGTATCTTGAACATGTTGTTAGTACATCGAACACGACCAAAGCGCGCCTCCTGCACTATTATCCTCAGACGAAAGAAGCTCTTGCGAAGATTGGTGCAGCAGACGACGACTGGTAAGCCGTTGGGTTGAAGACCGCCTTGAGAAGTTAACTGACACACAAAAGGTGCTCGAGACACAAAGATCATGGGTAAGTGCCCCTCTCAGCGTTGAAGTTGTTAGTGCTAACCCACTCGGTAGATGTCTAACTGGCCTAACGTCTGCCATGTTCATCGACGAAAAGGAAACTTCTACCGCGGTACCTGAAGCCACGAATAACGCTTCGGCAAGCCTACCACCCCTGGCAGAGCTGGAAGCGTCTCCCGATCCGTCGGCAGGGCTGTACATTGAATCGCGGAGCGGAGAGACGGTACAGGTCAAGATACCGCGGGATTGTATCGCTTTCCAGACTGGCGAAGCTCTGGAGCGTATTACGGGCGGCAAATTCAAGGCAGTGCCGCACTTTGTGAGGGGGGTCAGGGCAGCGGTGAGTGACGGACGCGTTGCGCGTAACACGTTGGCCGTCTTCACTCAGCCAAACCTCGGCGAGGAGGTGGACATTGAGCAACACATAACGTTTGGCGAGTTTGCGCGGGGCATCGTGGCCAAGAATACTGTATCATGAGAGTATCGTAGTTCCGTTGACGAGGGCATAAATGAAGGGCCGTGTCCAAGGTCAAAGTCGGCTTGTTGCGTTGCTCCGTTGTGTGTGACTAGTCGTCAAGTGAAGCCGACCCCGAGGTTGAATTTGTCAAGATTGTTCGGGGCCACACGGTGGGGCACCCGACAGCAGGGGCCCGGCCGGTAGTCCCGGAGCTCGGTACTTGGTGTTAAAGGGGACCAGTCTATACTCCGAAAGGCAGCTCGGAGCCGTAGCTGAATATTCCAAATCATCAATTTTGGAGGACTAGAGAACTAGCCTGGCCGAGGCCCAAGAGACGCAGAAACATGGCGCATGAAATCTCAATAATTGCGTGATGCTAATGGTGAGTTTTGAGGTTGCTCAGTCAGCAAAGCTTTTCGTGCGCTTGCATCATGATTGCAAAACCTCACCGTCTGGCAGCGAATCTGTGGACAAGGAGCTCTATCAACACCCGGAAGCTACCCCGCCCCCACCGCCTGCTCCAATGGGGACCTTTCGTCACCACTCGCTCTCTGAGGTAAGGTAAGTTACGGATACTGCTGCTGGGCCACTTGCATCGCAGAACCTCCAGACAAAGCTCCATGAAGCTCCCCTCGAATGTCTTATTAAACCTGACTCGACGCCCAATCTTTGCGTCGTCTCTACTCTCACCCATCTCATCTTCAAATCCGACGATAGTACTCACCAGCAGAAACACTGCCCACCTCCAACGCAAATTAAGCACCACCATCACATCTCGTTTCCGCTACACATCACCAACAATGGCCGTACCACCCAAATTCGCAGCTCACAAGCTCACCTTTGGAGCGGAACCCAAGCCCTCCACCGACGGCGTCCCCTCGCAGCCGCACACCATCGAGCTCTACCTCGACTACGTCTGCCCCTACTCAGCCAAGCAGTTCAACACCTTTTACAACGCCGTCGTGCCCGCCATTCGCGCCAACGCGACCTGGGCCGCCAACCTCGAGGTCATCTTCCGCCAGCAGGTTCAGCCCTGGCACCCCTCGAGCACCCTCGTCCACGAGTCCGCCGTGGCCGTCGTCAAAGTCGCGCCCGCCAAGTTCTGGGCGTACAGCGACGCCCTCTTCAAGGCGCAAAAGGACTACTTTGACGCCAACGTCGTCAACGAGCCGCGCAACGAGACGTACAAGCGCCTCGCCAAGCTCGCGGGGTCCGTGGGCGTCGACGAGAAGGCGGTGCTGGACCTGCTCGTCGTCTCGGACAAGCCCGACGCCGAGGGCGCGCTCAACGTCGGCAACGGCGTGACCAACGACTTCAAGGTGCTCATCAAGCTCGCGCGGTTGACGGGCGTGCACGTCAGCCCCACGGTGCTGTTTGACGGGTACCCCAACAACGAGATCAGCTCCGGCTGGACGCTTGATCAGTGGAAGGAGTGGCTTCAGAAGAACATTGTCTGACTTGAGGGACGGCGGGGATCGGCGCGGGATCACAGACTTTGAGTCGATGAGATGTTGGTGCTCTATTAGCTGAGGCAAGGAAGTTGGCAGGGTCTTATCGGATTCTCATGTTAGCGGTCTTCTGTCACGTCAACCATTCAACCCAGCATAGCCAGCTCGTTTCTGGGAGTAAATCATATAAAAAGAACCATAACAAAGGCCAATGCCAGCTCGCGACCATCAATGGTTAACCTCTTCATAAGTTTCGGCGATGATGGAATGTTGTCCACCATCCGGGCGCTGGATACCAATTAAGTCAAGTCGCGTCGCGTGGGGAAAAATTAATTGATATCGGTTAGATGCGTGCAGTGACCTCATCCGCCGCCGCATCTCATCTCATCCCATCAACCACTCACTCTCCCTAACCCACCCAACAAAGCGCCCTCTCACTCGAACCCCATCCCAATTCATCGGGCAACTTCATAATGTCCCTCCTGCGGCTCGCCTTCATACGGCAGCCTCCGCAAGCGATACGAATCCTCCCCACGCTACGCCAATGCGCTCTCCGCCCAACCCTCCGGAAATCTCTTCAGAACCAGCAATGTAGCCTGAGACGGCCCTTTGCCTCCGCACCACCACCACCGCCGACCACCGGTCCCCGGGCCACCGTCACCACGCCACCGAACCCGACCTCGGCCGGCGCCGGAGGCTCTGCCGGTCGGGCCGGGAACCCACGTGAGTAGTAGACCTCCGTCCCGAGTCTATCTGTAGTTACTTATGGACCGGGACAATTCATCTTCTCATCCGCTGTGCTGCGAAAGAGGGCTAACGATTCCCTTCCAGAACTGCCTGAGCGACTTCTCATCTACCACGCCGGCACCGGCCGGACGGCCTTTTTGGCCTTTTGGAAGATCACCACCGTCTTCTCATGCGTCTTCTTCTGCTTCGTAGCTGCCCCTAGCTACGTCCGCGCCGAAGACAGGACGCTCATCGAGGCAGCGGGATGTAAGTTTTTACTCCTATACACCTGTTTACGGCAATCTCATCTCACGATTTCCTGCCCTCCTCCTCCTCCTCCTCCTCCTCCTCCTCCTCCTCCTCCGTTACGCACAATCACGGCACAGCACCAGTCTCTCCGAATCCTCATACATCTAGACAAACCATGAAACTCGTCGCGCACTCACTAACACCCACCGCCCTCCCAGTGGCCGCCTGCGGCATAATCCCCTTCCTCTTCATATCCTACACCTCAGCCCCCTTCGTAACCTTCATCTACCTCCGCCTTCCCCCTTACGCGCGCCAATCCCGCGCCCTCCTAGAACGCTATGTCCGCACCCTCCCGCCCACGGCCCAGCTCGAGATCGGCACAATGGGCCTCGTCACCCGTCCCCGGCTCACGGCCGTCACGGCCGCCGAGCTCCGCCCCGTGGCCGCGGACAGCGGTCCCTTGGCCACGCGCCTCGGCATCGTCACGCATACCAAGGACGTCTCGGCGCTGATGGCGAAGCGGAGGTGGTATCACTATCGTCCTGTTGGCCAGTTTGGTATCAATACGGGCGTTGAGGCCAGCGGAAAGAAGAGCGGCGGCAAGGGCGCTAGTTACGGCGTCAAGGATGGATGGGTGTGGAATATTGTGCGCGAGTCGCTGGGTAAGCGCAAGTGAAGGGCGAAAGAGGGCACATTTTGCCAAGCGTGTTCCACCATGTATTCGAGACTCTCAAGTCAGGGTGAGAGGGATGCCGGTCAGGGAGGAGACGGCAGCACTGTACGATTCAAGCATGTTCAAGAGAAGGCGAAAGTGTATCCGTACGTGTGTTCAGTACATCGTTCGTTACGTTGGCTAGAGGTGGTATGAGGAGGAGCTCTTTACGAGTGAGAGGGCGTGTAGTCGGAAGCCTGCGGGAATTCCGGCCTTCAAATCGCGTGCGCGCGGCAAGTATCCCGTTCGAGATAGAAGTCGAATTGTATACTATCAAAAAGTGACAGATGATACCTCCCCCCTCTCCTTCCCTGACGCGGATGCACTGCCACTAGTCATTCAGATTTTGCCACGGCCCAATATCTGCGGATTCGAGTCAAGAGAGTCGAGACTCAAGAAGAGCTATTTTGGACACCCGCTGGATCCAACGGGAACGGTGGGATCGAGCCATACTAGCATATCCATAACGTCGTGGAGGTATTTGTACTTACCCATATAAGAGGCGAAAAAAAAAAAAAAAAAAAAAAGAGAAGACGTGGTCTAGGTTGAACCATGTTCCGGGAGGCAATCGCCATCGCCATCACTTCTGGAGCCCCGTTTTTTCGCCGCTGACAACCTCGGTACGTCCAAGTGCCCTGCTGTATACGGATACATTCTTGACCCCTTCAACTGTGGCCCAAACCAGGGCTTTTCTCATGTAGAGTGTAAAAAGTTGGTTGTTGGAAACATCAAGGAGAGAGGTCACGGTTATGGAAAAAGGGTCTAGAACCAACAGAACCCAAGGCTAATAACGAAAGCGAGCTGACTCTGCGTCTGCCGGGGCCACAATTCAGCCCCAAAGCCCCATTTCCAGCCGTCACCACCACCACCACCACCACCACCACCACCAGGAAACTCACAGAGAGGAACCCGTCCACACACCATCAGTACGTTGGCTTCCCCATCCTCGGCCACCTCCGTCCGTCCGTCGCCGTCGCCGTCACCCGCCGCCGTTAAACGGCCTCCGTTCCTGTATCTCACCACACCCATTCACATCCGGGCGCCGAGTAAAACCCCGAAATATTTCACTAAACTCCGAAGTCATCCCATCTTTACACGGTCCCTTTCTCACACCCCCTCCTCTATGTTGATGCCAGTGGGAGGATAGCCAGTACGTTGACGAGTTTGCCGATGCCTACGGCTATCACTACTGTGTACTATACCTCTCAGAGAAACAACAACCTTGCTTCATTCACACTTTCTAAACCCGGCATCCGGCAGCTGCATCCGACCCTATCATTGCTCATAAAGACAATGAAAAGGTTCAGAATTGAGGAAAGCGCATAATGATTACCTATCGTGCCGATGTAGGTACTCGGAGCCCGGGGGGTGGTGGTGGTGTTGACGTCCGGGTAGTCACGAATCTACCCGTAGAGCAAATCGGGACTCAATAGTAGAGATGAAATTGCATCTACGTGCCTCGTAGGTTAATTGCGAAGCAGTACGTATCCTACCATTATGTTTGTGTCATGTTTCGCAAGTCCACGAGGGAAGGGAGGGGCAACATCCTTTTTTAAAGTCCGAAACAAGAGACACACGTCGAGATGCAGGTATGCATCCTTTTCCCAAACTTCACCGTCGGCCACCCCGAGAAACCTCCCCCCCATCTGGAGGCCTTTTTTTTTTCCAGTCCCAAGTTGCCTAACAAGACAAGAAAGTATGAAAAGCAGTAACATTGTAATGGGACGAAGAAGAAAAGCGGGGAACCCCCCCGTTAGTTTGGTGTGAGAATCCCCCCCCCAAATGACCACCAAGAAAAAAGATGCGATGAAAATGGAAGCAAGATTCGAGTCTATTGGACCAGCATGTCCCAGATCACCACAGATGGCATACATGTGGGAAAGGAAACCACCATAATCCTGGAATGTCCTACTTTTCCCCCCCCTCTTCATCCATCCAAGTCCCATTACCTTAACCCCCTCCCTTTCCTTTGGGATTCAACCCCTCATCCTGCACGCCACGCATATTCTTGTGTCAACTCGCCCACGCAACTCACACTCTGTCGGCGATACAGGGACCCGGTCTGACCGTTGGCCTAGCTGAAGAGAGAGGGGTGACGAGGACGTCGGGTATGTAAAAGGTACGTAGGTATTCGTAGTCGACCATCGTCGCAAAAACATTAGGAAACGTGCCAAATGCCAAACTCTAAAGGCGACCTCCCACGAAACAACGTCACTCGGCCCAAGTACAGACAGAGTAAGGGCTGTAAGGAAACTCTCACACTCTGTCGTACTGCCTACCTTCTGTATGGCAGAGGGCACAATCTCCAACATCTCCAACATCTCTCCTCTCCCCCGCCGCCGAACCCATCACTTTGGAGAATTCTCGAGACCCCGACCCGAACCGACCTGGTCCCAGCTACGAAACACGAGGCATAGATACCCATGCCAGCGCGGTCCCAGCGAAACCCAGTTGCCCAGCTTCTCGCCGATCAGAGTATTATTGTACACACTACACGTACAGACCCATGCGAGTGTCTCTCCAAAAGACTCTCCAACTGCTTTGTGAACTTCACCGTCTCATTCCCTGTTCCCCGATCGTCAACGAGTGACGAACATGGACTGTTCTCGACCCTGCCCATCACTTTTTGCTTTGTCAATTTTAACCTTTTTTTTTTTTTCCCTCCTGCAAACCCCCGTACCTACTCTGTAGTCTGTACACGCCGCCTACCAACCCACCCCCCTACGGCAATCGTCCGCCCAATGCTACCAACGAGGGTTCACGGCAAACCACAGCGGCAATCGTCATCATTCTGAAGCGGAAGTGAAGCAGAAGCAGAAGAAGACGACGACAGAAGACGAGAGAAGAAGCTAAATTATGCGGTTTCGTAAGTCAGTGATGTAAGCCTGTGACTGAAAGGTAAGATTTCACCAAATTATCAAGTTCCAACAAATGCACCTCCCTCCCATGGGCACTGGCTCAAGGGGTTCCCCCATTGAATGTCATTGCTCCTCCTTTCCCCCTCCCCACACTTTCATTTCGCCGATCAAGAGTCTCGAAACTACTGTGCTATTCCGAATAGCCCGACATCCGACTCCCGGCTTCCGCGCCGTTTCGCTGTTCATGATCTCCCGTCCCGCGGATGCGGCGTGGCCCATACGGAGCGGAATAGCCGACACCTTTGAGGTAAATATTTTATTTTTATTTTTTTACGGTGTCGTAAGGCGGGCGGCTGAGTGGGATAAAACGTGGCAGTCGTAAGTAACCGTATAAGCGAAGTCCAGACGTACGTAGATATACTAGCCGCCTCAAAAGAACAAAAACACGAACGCTTGTGCCGACCCCCGAGACATACCTACCTTAAACTCACCTTGAGGCTTGAACCTGTCGGTCAGCCCGTTTGCCCCGTCAAGGCTCAACGTTGTTTCCAATGTATGTTCCCTTCTTTTTCGGCCTTCTGATAACCTAGGGGTGTGGGGTGTATGGTGGAAGGGGACAACGTCTTTTTTTGCCTGTGCCTGTGCATGCATAGCTCGTCCGCGCTCGCTCGAAGTTGAGACCATCTGCTTATGCAAAGTCTCTTTGGGGGGGAGTCTTCTCAACTTGCGGCTGAATGAACCCTGTGAACATGCCAACATCAGATGCCGTGGCCAATCAACTCGCCCGATGGCGAGACTTTGCGACCGCTTTGGGGACTTCCCGGTAGGAGCTCGCCTCGAGCACCACACACACACACACACACACACACACATACACACCCCCAGATCTAACCCATTGTCAACTCCCTTCCCACACCCTCCAAACGTCTTACTCCTTGCTTGCCAAGCAAACGATGCAGCGAATGCCCGTTTCCGCGGGTTGCCTCTGGTGTTGCCGGCGTGGTCTTCACTTCACTGTGCTAGGTTGACTGAACTTGTATGCGCGCGCAGGATGGTATCATGTCCGTATTGATCGGTCCAAGTCAATGAAAACAACGAAACTTCTCTCTCTCCCTCTCTCTCTCCTCTTACAGTTACTTTTTTGGGCCTTTTCCACCAACATGATAGTGAGCAAACAGGACTCCTCATTCGCAATGCCAAGATGCGCGCCGTCTCCGTACGCCGAGCCGAAATGGGCCGCGTCAGTGGCTCCTTCGTAAGGCAACATGCCAAACATAGTAATACAGTCCAGAAATACAGACCGGGACACCACTTCGCCAAGCTCCTCTCCCTCTCTTTCCTCGCACCGTCCCGAAAAAACAAAAGCCTCTTGGGAGCCCCATTCCCGGTTGGGGGCCATGCTTCCGAAGGGGCATGAGTGACGCCGGCGCCCGACATGGATCTTCCGTTGTGTTCCCTCCTCCTCATTTTCATCGTAATCGTGTACATGTATTTCGTCGCGAGAATAAAGCGTGTATGAGGCGAACAAGGACCGTATAAAGCGAAAATCCAAGATATGTACGTGAATCGCTGTAGCTTAAAGGGGCACCTATTCGTCGGTCCAATCGTGGAGGCACCCCGTAAGCTGGCGAATTTTGTCATGAACCGGTAGCCTGTCGTCGCTATACCAAAGGTGTAAAACATCTCGCAGATGTTGCCGACAAGAAAGGTTAGGTAGCTTTGCAAAATCAATTTGGAAACGGCTCATCGCCGTTTCATCATAGGACCACTACTGCCATCGTAATCCCAGCCCCGCTTGAGACCGCCTTCGTAGACGCTCGCCACGGACTCCTGCCACATCGCCGGCGAGACAAAAGTCTGCACGGGAGCTGCAGAGTACTGTTGCGGCATCTGTTGAGAGACCACTGGGAGAGTAGCATTGACAGCCTGAATGTCTTGGAGAGACGGGGCTTCGGGTGCACCTGAAGACGGAGAAACACTAAGCGAATTGGACTGGGGAGGCAGCGTCGAAGGCTGTGGTTGGACCTGAGGCGTACCGAAAGACGTGTTCCATTGTCTGTAGACCTGGATTAGCGGATGGCTCATTTTGAAGGAGGATGATTGTCGACCAATGACTTACTCAAAAATACGTGCGGGATTCCAGGCCGGCGCATCCGACAACGACATTGTTTGCTGCATTCCCGGCGCTTGGGAACCTTGGCTTGCCATCATGACGAGTGACTGTATAGCAGGCGAGTCACTCTTGGTATCCACAGGTCCGGCAGAAATAGGAGGTGTAATGGGGTGGCTGGTATAACTGACTTGGGAGTGTTGAAGGTTCTGCGT